CAGAAAGGATCTCACCAGGAACTTAGGCGGCCGGCACTTTGCTCTTGAAATTCCCAGGCTCCAAAACTGTGAGAAATTTCTGTTGTTTAAACCACCCAGTCTATGGTATTTTGTGCCGGCAGCCCAGGCTGACAAAGACAGCACCCTCTGCGCTGACAGTGAGGCACAGAGACCACGGCAGTTTTCTCAAAGCCCAGCACAGCCGGGTTTGGACCAGGCTCCTCTGACTCCCTGAGGGCATGGTGGTTTCTCTGCTAACCTGTCCTGCCCCTGGCTGTCTGAGGGGAACGGAAATATAAACCAACACCCTACTGCAGGAATATGTCAGTAGACAGAGGTCCAAAAAGTGTTAGCTGTAAGTGGAGTGTAAAATAAGGTGTAAAAGTTCGGCGCTAATGCTGTGAAACACAGCTCCCGGGCAGCCCGGGAGAACGAAATTTGTACTGATTCACAGACAGGCATCGATGCTAGCTTTCCATCAGTTTTCCATCCGCCTTCCTAATTCTGATCCCTACTTTCTTGGCATTAATGTAGGCTAAATGCTGCTTTAAAGAAACTACTGACTCTGAGACATGGATAAAAGCTCACTAAAAACTCCAGCTACCAAAACATCGTGCCTGGTCTACATCTGGCCACGGGAGACTAGTGACCAAATGACAGGCTTGACACTTAGCAGCTCGGAGTGTGAGTCTACCAGGCCATCTGCCTTGTTTTACGTAGTTTTTGGAAAGCCCTGATCTCTACCTCCTGTGTCTTATTTTCGAAATAAGAAATAATACTGGAGTTCTGCCTCCGGGAAACTGCGAGGATTAGCTCATAGAAGCGACAGATCTGGGACGGAGTTCCATGGCTGCTAAAGAATGACTGTTGGAGAGAAGTGCTCTCAGGTGGGAAGAGTTCGGCCTGAGACCTGGCCTCACACACCGCTTCCTAGCCCTGTGGCTTGGGAAAAGTTACCTAATCCGCACATGTGCCTCAATTTCCTCAAACATAAACCTGGAAATATGTGAACCTGCCTTCAAGCATTGTCGTGAGGATTAAATGAGATAACTTGTGTCTGGCACACACCGATTCACAAATAAGCTTTGCAGATGCTTTTTTGTTTTTGAACTAGACAAAGATGAATCTTCCCCACTGCCATATTTTTCTTTAGAAAGATAACAGTTCATGCTTTTAACATTAACCTGCATCTGAGTTCTGTATAATAATGGGAAAGATAAGGCACTAGAAATCTTTTAGAACGTTTTTAGGTGAGCTCTGTTAGTCTGTGTGAAAGAAGCAAAAACCTTTTACTATAGACTGAGAAGGAAGAGAAAGGAAAAAACTGGCCCCTTTAAACAATGAGGGTTTTTATTTTTTTGTCAGTATCTTAAAGAGGCTTTTCTTATATAAACAGGAGTATTTGCTGGTCAGTACCCAGATTTTTTTTCTTTTGATGTATATTAAAAAAATTAAAAGGAATATTCTTAGAAAGACATCTGTGCCTCGGGTGACTCACATTTGACCAATCCCTGTGAGTCGAGCTTTTCAGGGGATGTGCAATTATTTGCTCAGTTCGGCTTAAACTTTTTATTTATCTAATCATCCCCCTGTAATGCTTTGATCTGAACTTCCAAGGCCTATTTTTCAACCACTTTAGTTACATATTTTAAGTCTTATGGTCTAATCAACACCAGCCCATAAAACATGCGATGTCCTGTTTAATGCATCCTATTAGGAAATCAGCTGCCACATGGATTCTGAAATCTCCCACTTGGTGACTGGGTGAGCTATTTGGAAGTGCCATTAATGTCATTATTCTGGGAGAGCAGGAGAGAACCGGCAGCCAAGTGTACCCTCTGCGCCTGGCTGGCTTCCCCTGCTAGCGCTTGCCGAGTGACTCAGAAGTGAATCACCGATTTCTGCAGGTGTATGCTCCCGAGCTCTGGAAGCCTTCCACAGCCCAGCAGGGACAAATGTTTACTTCATTAGTTCATGGAGTTCCTCAGTAGATCCCACGATTTAATTTGACTGTTCAATAGCTTAAAAATATACATATGTGTATGTCTATGTGTCTATGTATGTATTTTTGTGTATGTATTTATATTTCAGGAGTGCATGGCTATGTAGAAAGTGAAAAATAAAACCTATCACTGAATAATTAGAGAATGTGTTCATCTGAAATCTTTGGAAAGAAAATAATTCCTATGTATGTCATTTTGCTTGAAAAACACATTCTTGGTAGTAGAATTCCTTCCTTTTCTCTCTGGTTGGTCCATGGAAGGAACTAGGGCCCATGAACACCTGGGAAAAGCAGACTCTTAACTCCTTCCTCGGCCTTGAAGCTTTTTTATTTGAGTATCTTCAAACACTCTAGCCCATCAGAGACGTTTGAAAGAACACTCATTTTTCTGAGGAAACAAAATTGTAAATAAAATATAAAGACAAATATACGTCTTGACTTGCTAATCGCTGAACAAACCTTACTTTTATATGGTAGCAGTACCTAATGAAGGCAACAGCATCAATTAAATAAAGAAACAAGATTGAAGAAGATTGCAGTATAGCCACAATGCATGCATGTGCTAAAAATTGATGGTCATTCATCATGGTCAATGACACAATATAGTACACAGTGGTAACAGTTAACATTTGATTTCTTCCTATGCTCTAGCACCATTAAAATGCTTTACATATACTGATTCTTTTAATTATCAGAACAACCCTGTAGCGTTGGTACTATCATTGTCTTCGTTTTACAGATGAGAAACTCTAGGCAGAGAAACGTTAAGTGACTTGCTTAAGGTCACACAAAGATGATAAATGATGAAGCCAGATTTTAAACCCAGCCAGACAGACCCCAGAGCCTGCATCATAAAACACCACGCTATTATAGCCTAATGACAGATTTTTTAAAAAACAAACACAGCAGAATCTGTTCATCCAAATGAATCCTGCCCACTCCAAAGTAGTCACCTATTTACACTCTATACTTATTCCAAGCATTGCCATGGCTCAACAAATCTAGAACTTTCTCTCTCTTTTTTAAAATTTTCTTTCTTTCTCTCTTTCTTTCTTTCTATCTTTCTTTCTTTCTTCCTTTCTTCCTTCCTTCCTTCCTTCCTTCCTTCCTTCCTTCCTTCCTTGCTTTTCCTCAGAGACTAGGGTTTGTTATTCTAAATATCACCAGTAAAAGCTTTACTCACTGAGACTGGATTTGATTTTTTGTAAAGTCAATAGTAATTCAGAACCGAAGTTGGTGAAAAGAGAAGGAATCAAGCTTGGTAATCGCTACACCTAAAGTTGTCTGTAAAGCTAATCTTCAAACAGGTTCTAAAATTCCAAGAATGTTTTGCGTGATGGCAGCATCATTAAAATAAATGTATAGACTTGCCAAGGTCATTCTGGAGCACATTGGACAGAGAGCAGTGACACTGATGTGTCTGATACAGTGATTCATTCTCTAAACATAAGGAACCACACTGTTAGGTCACAGCTCGATAGATGCTGTTTGGCCCCCTGACCTGGCAGGACACACCTGTGACTCTTTTCTGTATCCAAATGTATATAAGAGCAACATCTAAATATATACACATATAATTTTAAATGAAATATGAATTTATATATCTCTCCTATGTAAATATATATAGTCAAGATCCTGCCGAGAAAGAGATGGTGACTCAAAATGCGTAAATGAAGGAACAATTTACAGCATCAGGAAAAACTATGGAAATCTGAATAGAGTGTATTTAGTTTATAATAATATAGAAGTATATAAATATAAATAATGTGTAATCGTGTTCATAGTGATGTATCCCTATTGGTTCATCAGTTGTGACAACTGTACCATGCAAATGTAAGATGTGAGTGATAAGGAATAATAAGAGTAAGAACAATACCCTGGGTGCAGCGTATATGGGAACTGGTTGTACTAGCCTCACAGTTTTTGTGTAGATCTGAAACTATTTTAAAATAAGAATTTTATTTGAAAAATGAAAGTCTAGTGCTTATTCTTTACTCAGAGAAGAACGAGGTGGAGGAGGAGGGAGAGGAGGGGCAGGGGAAGACGTCTGCGTCTTCGTGCTTCCTTCACGACTCGTGCTGTGTGGCTGCCCAGCCAGCAGAGTGGCGGGCAGGAGGGCTTGCCGCTTCCTGACTGGGCGCCTTACGCGAACTACACAAATGTGTCATCTTATGATGTGAAGTGTTATGTTAGATGACTGAACTTTAAGTTTTCTGAGGCCGTGGGGCACCAAATGGTAATCATTTAATGCGAAGGACATCAGTAATATTTCTCTTAAAAAATCAACTCCCCTTCCCTTAAAAAAATGCAAAAAAAAAAAGGTGACATACCCAGTAAAAATAAAATGAGGCACTTGAGTCAGTATCATAGCAATAAAAAGTTAACATTATATCTGATTTTAACAATAGAAATAAATTCTATTCCGAAAGCTCCGTCCTTTGGCATGGTGGGCTGTGTCTTGGTGTGAATGGTGTGCGCTGTGGAGGTGCAGCCCTGGCAGTGAGCCTCCATCTGTTCCAGTGTAGGAGATCTTGTCTTTTCTCCCAGAAACACCAGTGAGGAGGGAAGAGAGGCAGTGGGGTGGAGTGAGATGTGTGAGCACTTTGCAGCCTGCAGAACTGCGTTTGGATCTGCCTCCACCCTTGGCTGCCATGTATCCTTGGATGTCCCTGAATGTCTGTTTTCTCAGAAATAGGGATGTGAACCAGAGAAGATGCCTATGAACTGTCTGATACATGATGAGAAGTCACCAGATGGGAGTTATTACTGGAAGCTACAGACGTGGCCTCTTGTATGAGGCCAGGAGTGACAGCATTTTTCTTTCCATGGCCACTTATTTGCCATAGAGGAACTTGCGGCACGTTTCAGTTGGGTATTTAGCATTTCATTTTTCTGTGGCTTCTTCCTCTTACTAGGCTGAATCTGAGGATCCTTTGAATCGCATACAGCTGTTTAGAAGAGGTGCACAAGGAGTATACTAGGCAATATTTGTTTTTTTTTAAATACAGAACGCTTCATGAATTTGCTTGTCATCCTTGAGCAGGGGCCATGCTAATCACCTCTGTATTGTTCCAATTTTAGTATATGTCCCGCCAAAGTGAGCACCAACATTTGTTCAGTGAGCGAATCAACCAACTTTTTGAAGGTCCTTCCGTAGCACGTGAACACATGAATGCAGACATATGCGTGTATATGCATGTGTGCACAGACAGACCAGCATCCCCGGCGTCCTTCCAAACACACACACACACACACAGGCAGCTCAACAGACACCTCCCTGTGAAAGCAACACAGGCGTATGCCTGACTTAGGGAGCTGAGCCTCAAGTCCTATGGATTTCAAACGGTTCTTTGCACTAACTTAAATCACTTTTTAAAATGTGTGAGTGAATGGGTGCTCTGAAATTGGATATTAAAGCACTCTACAAAAAAGTGCCAAAGAATAGCTCCATCTATTCATGAACAAATTTCCAACATTAAGTAGGCTTTTGAAGTTTTAGGGGAACATTGTTTCCAGTGCCTCCTTCAAACATGAAAGCAAAGATGTGCCAAATTCTGAAGTACTCTTCCTCCTTCTACTAATGGGAATTCAGTTCTGTCAAGATAATGCTATTCTAATTGCTCACCAAAAATAATGGCCACATCCTATTTATGATTAGTTCTTTGGAATTCTAAAGAGTCCGTTCTAAAATATTAGGCTCACATTACATTTCCCAGCACTGACTTGATCAGCATTTTTCTTTTTTCACTTTCGAAACATTTTCTCTGGGTGTGACAAGGATGTACATGGTGAAATGTGTCTCCAACCCACCTCTAATGCCCAGAAAATTCACCCAAAGGCATGTATGTGAAACACCAAGGACACAGAACTGTAGAGTTTAAAAGAAAGAACAAAAGCAAAGACCACTGACTTTGCAACCTACACCTGACTTCACTGCTTACAAGCTGTGTGACCTTGAGAAA